CGCAGACCAAACACTGACTGACTGTCTGGATTCCTGCTGGACTTCCCACATCTGCTTGACCACTGCAGACACCATCTACATAAATACACACACACACACACACACACACAAACAAACAGCTACAGTTAAACACGATGAATGAAGTGTGTCCATTTGACCTGGTGTGGCTACTAACTGCTGCGTTTTACACCGCAGGGATGAAAACACAGGAGTGAGAGAGATCAAAGTAATTTCAAGCCCATTTAAACGTACAATATGTCTGCCGCTATGGGGGGTCTCTCACAGCATGAACCTAACAACAGATGATGTTTAATTGTGAAGTAGCGTCGGATCATGGGAGTTGTTGTCTTCACCACCATTGCAGTCAGATTCTCGTCGTTCAGGAGGTTTTTAACAGGAACCGAATCATCCACAGAGGTTTCCTCCTGATCAAAACTTGTAAAAAAAAAACATTGAATAAAGCAGTTTCACCTTAAAAATCTGTGTTTCTCCGACACTGATCGACCCGCCAGCCGAGCTGCTGCTAACGTTAGCTCAGCTTGTTTCTCTGATCCTGAAAGCCTTCTTCTGGTTAAAATATGATATCGAATTATTAAAAAGAACCAAGATCTTGTAGAAAATGTGGCCTAAAACTGTGTATATTAGTCCATTTATGACAACTTCTAGCAGACAACTATAACACATGTTCAAAGGGGATATGACGCCATTGAGAGGCGACCAGTGAAACACACCGTTACCTCAAAGGAATTACAGGTTTCTCTTGGTTTTAGAATTGTTGGAGACATTTTTGATAATGTAAGTACAACTCAACACAATATATAACATATGTAATGTTTATAGACATTTCGATGTGGAAATGTGACTAATATTATAGCTTTAAAAGTCTGTGATCTTGCTTTTATTATTAACTGTGATTTTGAAATGTTTTTTCATGTTTGTGCCTGTGGTGGACAGCTATGGTTAGTTTGGTTTAAGAGGTTTAACAAACTATTAGCATCAGAAGAGCATCTAAAAAAAAACAAATCTTCCACAATGATCATTAAAAGTATGGATACACAACCAGTAGAGTACTAGATCTATAGTACTAAAACACCTTATAACACATACTGTTACAGGTTCAGAATAGATGTGAAGAGCTTCCTGAAAAGCCACAGTGCATGACTCTTCATCCAGGCCCTGAGCCTGTCTGCCTGAACGCTGCCTGAATGCCCCGAACACATACCAGACAGACCACGGGCCACTGGAGATGAAGGAACAAGCTGCGTACAAGATGGTGCGTTGTCCAGTACTCTCCTGGGAAATCAGTGTACTAACCACATCAATAGCTTCAATACCTGCAGTCCTTAATTATTACACAGCTGTCCATCAGCTGCGCATACTGAGCCTCAACAAACCAGTGAAACAATCCTCTGAGGTAGTGGCCAAAAAACTCATCCTTCAGATTGATAATTAAACTTAATCTGAGGCTCCCTTCTTATAGTCGTTGTGTATAAAGTGTGTCCTTCAGCTCATATATTCATGTCATTATAATGTCTTTTCTTAGCATACTTTACACAGAGGTCACCTCCACAGTGGTTGTGTTACAAAGGATCCTGGAAAGTAAACAAACTGTTCCCACCTGACAGTTTCTGGTGGAACAACCTCCTCCTCATCAATACAATCTGCATTTCAGTGTATTGCTGGGTGGGCCAGTGTGCATAGATCATAGTAGAAACACAGGTTTGGTAGATGGATGGAGAGCGACACAGCTGCCGATGAGGTTATCCTGCTGCACTTTGCTAACAAGGTTATAGATTGATAGAAGATCTGTCTGCATCTTTTAACTTAAGTTGTACAGTTTTATTGAATACAGTTCCAGGTGGCATTAAGAATTCCCTCGTCTGCTTTCTTATTAGAAAGTTATTTTGAATTGTACACACTGGAAACAGAGAGGAATCATGCAACAAGTGTTCCCAGCTGGATTTACACTGGGGACACCAGCTGATGTCGTACGTGGATACAACCAAAAGTAGGAAGGCAGATCCCCCTTATTATACCCAGAATGCCCTGGGGGAGAGGTACGGGCTCTACCCTGATCACTGGCTAACACATTTTGTGTAGACAGACAAACTATTCACACCTTTTAAGTTAAGCTATGATTGTATAAGTGACAAGTATGCAAATTTCATTCACAAAAGGCAATTCAAAGTAATTAACATGACCTATAAATCACCTTAGATAACAAACAAAGAACCCCAAAAGACAAAGTTAAAGAATATAAACTATTTTTAAAGTAAAAGATCAAAAAGAAGAGATATAAAAGAAGGGAATTAAACACACTGTAATGTGAGTACAAGATTAAGCCAAAGGGAGAACATGAAAGTTTATAACCTGGTTTTAAAGGTAGTCAAAGCAGCTATAATTAATATTTTATTTTGTGAAAGGGGTCCTCATATAGTGATTAAACTACAGTATTATCACCTGAATCTGCAGCTGGCCTCAGCTTCATAGAGCTTTATAATGAGTTTCAGTTCATCGTTCAGCAGTCCAGCCCACAAAATTGCTGTTTTTGGTTCAGTCTCATTGCTCTCACAGCGTAGTTCTTGGCCACTGCACGCTACCTGTTCAGCATCAAACAACAGATAAAACAAAGGCAGCGACTAGCTGGTGAACACTGTGGAGCATTTAGCAGCTAAAGAGCCAGCAGGGAGGAGCTAGAGCCCCAGAAACAGAGCTTAAAAGGAGAGTGAACGTTGGCCAGAAACATGACTTCAGATTATTTATAATGTTGCTCTGTAACTGCTGGATATGTGAAGCAAGCATGTCAACAAGTGTTCACAACACAATAACTCAACACTGCTTCTTTATATGTCTACTTTGGACTCTGGGAATGAGAGTTAATATTTATATATATATAGAGTTATATTTTTAAGACCAGAGAACTGTTGTGACCTGTTTTGACCACAGAAGCAGCAGCGGCACTCTGAAGAAGCTGAAGTGGAGATTTATGGGAGATTACAATTGTCCTGCACGCTAGAAAAAAGAAAAGAAGTACGGACGAGTCCTGGACCTGAATCATGTGATTTTTGCTATTTTAGTGAGCAGATTTAATGACCTGTTTAGATGATTTACACCACGAGAGATCACTGAAGATCAGCCTTTATTCTCTTTTTAAAAAGCTAAAGGATGCAGTTTCCTTATTTGTTTAATTTACTTGGGATAAGAATATTTACTGAAGCGCGTAAAAAAGGTTGAACAAAAGAGGCCGAAGAATTGCGCCTTCGGAAATTGAGCATGTCATGTTATTTTGCTTAGTTGCTGAATGAGACAAAGTAGACCCTGTCCTGGAGGACAGACTTAAAGTCCAACCCACTTTCCCACTCTTTTTTAGTTGTATTATGGTGAACTGAGGCACATGGAGCACAAAGACTCGAGGAATAACCATTAGCTTGAATGAGTTGATGACTCCAGATCCAGATTATCTTCTGGCCTGATTCAATCTAACTTCTCTTTTCTCTTTTTTAAATTTACAGCTGGGAACTAGTGACTTTTTCCCTTTTGGTTCAGCTTTTCTGCCTGTTTTAGTTCTCTCTCCTTCTCTTTTCTCTCCCCCCCTCCTGCCCTCTTCGACCTTCTCTCTTCTTCCTGTCCCTTCCCCCACTGCAACCTACCCCCACCCTCTTTTATCCCACTCAGGGTAGAAACACACCAAATGCAGGGAAGGCCACCAGGAACCTCCTACCTCCCACACTTGGTCGCCTCTGGGCAGATCGATCACGCTGTCAGTTCAAATTACCGCCTGCTTCGCCTGTTGTTTTCTGTTTATTCCCACAATGATACAGATCAGTTCAGGAGCTGCGTCTGATTATTTGCAATGAAACACTTTAAGCAGTAAACAGCAACAGGTACTTGCGGTGCTGGCTGCGGTCGAGTGGTTAAGATGCTGGAATCCATTTGGGCATTTTTTTTTTTTCATGGTTTGCTCACTGTGCTGCAATGTGTTTACATGTCCAACACACAGTGAGTGACTGTGTGTAGAGATTCAGAGAGGAGAGGGAGAAAAGCTCGACTTCACAGCTGCAAAATGCTTAAAACTTCATAGACTTAAAACACTCCCTGTGTTATTGCTTGTATAGAAGATGAAGGGTGGTGAAACAGGGAGGGAAGTAATGGAATAATGTGCTTTATCCTGCTGCAAGTATCAGAAACTGAACAGCTGGTCTGCAAAGATGTGTGTTTGTATACCTGATAATCAGATTTAACCGGCATCTCAGTTTAACTTCATTAACATATATATCTTGTTATATTTAAAATATGAGACGAGGGCAACAATTCAGTGTTTCCTATAAATCCTATTGTAATTCCTTGTGCTATTCTCTTCCTGACAAAAGTAAGTTTTGCAGGTTTTTATGTTACATTTTAACGTTGTACTTTAGGTGTATTTAAAATAAAAAAAGGTTAAAAATGTTCATCCTTTCCTTTGTTTTCAGTCTTGGGGAGTAACGGATTACTCTGTTAGTTACATAATCAGAATACATAAAAGAAGTGTAACTGTAATCCATTACAGTTACACTTAGTTACATTTCCAGTTTTTCCGTTTCCATTGTTTTGTTGTTTTATAGAGATGCATCAATACTTATTATTGACGTTTCCTTTCTCCTATTTTTATCCACACATTTGGTTTTGAAGTAATCCAAAAGTAACGTAAAAGTTACTTTAATGTCGTGAAACTTGGATTAGGTTACTGACAAAACATTTTCAAAAGTAAACCTCCAAACCCTGTTTGTTTTTTAATAAATGTATAAACATGAAATATACACGAAAGAGAGAATTACAAGAAGAATATGACATTTTTTTTTGTAAAAATTAAAGAAAAAAGTCTATTTTATTTCATTTAGCTATGAATTTAAGCAGTCTATAAAAAAACTCGAGAAACGTATCCTATAAAATGAGTTATTTTCTGTGTAAAATCTCTGGTGTAATGTAATTACTGTAACACATTTTCCTTCCATAGGGAGTGGAGACCAATCAAGATCGAATCCTGTAGGAAAACAAACGCTCTGATTGGCTGAGACGCGGCATCGGTTTCAAGGCGCCCTGCGTTCTGTCGGGGGGTCTTGTGAATGGAGGGGGGCGCCTGGAAACCGGTGGAATCCGCACGGAGCGAGGAGAGCGAGCCTCTGGACTTCCAACTGCTCAGCATGTGAACCGTCGCTCCGTGTGAAGTCAAGTCGAGAGGGGGGAGAAAAAACACAAAACCGATAGAAATATACGACTTTTTAAGTTTTAAATCTTTGTTTCTAAGCGCCGAAACCACCACGGGTGAGCGCTACGACGCCTGGAATAATCTTGGTTCGCTTTACTTCGAAGAAAATGGGACTTTAAGTGGGATTTATATATTTTTTTCCGCTTCCCACCCCCCCCCTCTGGACTGGGAGTGAGAGTGGACTGCTCGGAGTCACTTACAAAGACCATCAAGAAGTCATGACGCGACGAACGTTAACTTCGGATTAATCGTCACTAAACACCAGTTAGAAACACGACTGCGGCCATTTCGGCTCGGTTTACTCGGACTGTACCATCCGCGTTGCCGCGTTTAATGTAGATTTTCGTTGCTTTTTCGAGCGGTTTTTTTTTTTTTTTCCAAGTCGCCCTACTTGGATCAAAGTTTTTTCCTTCCTTCCCTCCCCCCCTCTCTCTCCCTCTCTCCTTCTCCTCTCCACCACCTCCTCCTCCTCGACTATGGCGGCGGCCGGGTCCACCGCTGGCTCCGTGCTGCTGCGGATCATGTGGCTCCTGTTCGGGTTCTCCTCGCTGTGTTCGGCTCAGCACTACAACAGCGACAGCGGGATATCGGTACCGGAACACGGGTTCTGCCAGCCCATTTCCATCCCGCTCTGCACCGACATCGCCTACAACCAGACCATCATGCCGAACCTCCTGGGCCACACGAACCAGGAGGACGCGGGGCTGGAGGTGCACCAGTTCTACCCGCTGGTGAAGGTCCAGTGCTCCGCGGACCTGAAGTTCTTCCTCTGCTCCATGTACGCGCCGGTATGCACGGTTCTGGAGCAGGCCATCCCCCCGTGTCGGTCCCTGTGCGAGCGGGCCCGGCAGGGTTGTGAAGCCCTGATGAACAAGTTCGGGTTCCAGTGGCCGGAGCGGCTCCGCTGCGAGGCTTTCCCCGTACACGGAGCCGGTGAGATCTGCGTGGGCCAGAACACGTCCGAACCCAGCAGCCCGGCCTCCTCGTCGTCCCCGTTCGCACCCGAACCGGTGACCCTTCCCCCAAACATGGGTCGACCCAACCAGCGCCCGCCCCCGCACAACCAGCACCACCAGTTCTCCTGCCCCCTGCAGCTGGAGGTGCCCTCCTACCTGGGGTACCGGTTCATGGGGGTCAAGGACTGCGGGGCCCCGTGCGAGCCCAACAAACCCACCGGGATCATGTACTTCCGGGAGGACGAGGTGAAGTTCGGCCGGCTGTGGGTCGGGATCTGGTCCATTTTGTGCTGTGTGAGCACTTTATTCACAGTGCTCACGTACTTAGTGGACATGAGGCGGTTCCGGTACCCCGAGAGACCCATCATCTTCCTGTCGGGCTGCTACTTCATGGTGGCAGTGGCCTACGCCGCCGGGTTCTTCCTGGAGGACAAAGTAGTGTGCGTGGACAAGTTCAAGGACGACGGGTACCGGACGGTGGCCCCGGCGGACGAAGAAGGAGGGCTGCACCATCCTTTTCATGGTCTTGTACTTTTTCGGGATGGCCAGCTCCATCTGGTGGGTGATCCTGTCCCTGACCTGGTTCCTCTCTGCCGGGATGAAGTGGGGCCATGAGGCGATCGAGGCCAACTCCCAGTACTTCCACCTGGCTGCGTGGGCGGTACCGGCCATCAAGACCATCACCATCCTCGCCATGGGTCAGGTGGACGGGGACGTGCTGACCGGGGTGTGCTTCGTCGGGATCTTCAACGTGGACTCCCTCCGCGGGTTCGTGCTGGCCCCGCTCTTCGTCTACCTGTTCATCGGCACGTCCTTCCTCCTGGCCGGCTTCGTGTCCCTCTTTCGGATCCGCACCATCATGAAGCACGACGGCACCAAGACGGAGAAGCTGGAGAAGCTGATGGTCCGGATCGGGGTGTTCAGCGTCCTCTACACGGTACCGGCCACCATCGTGATCGCCTGTTACTTCTACGAGCAGGCCTTCAGGGAGCACTGGGAGCGCACCTGGCACATGCAGACCTGCAAGCGGTTCGCCGTGCCCTGCCCGGTCCACAACTTCGCCCCCATGACCCCGGACTTCACCGTGTTCATGATCAAGTACCTGATGACCATGATCGTCGGGATCACGTCGGGTTTCTGGGTCTGGTCCGGGAAGACGCTTCAGTCGTGGCGGCGGTTCTACAAGCGCCTTAGCAACGGTAACCATGGAGAGACAACGGTTTAACGGCCAGGAGGATTTAAAAAGACACAAAGCGGAGTTTGTTTTTTTTTTTTGTTTTTTTTTGGGGGGGAGAAGTTATAATAACCGTGTAAAAATGAGGTCAAATAGCTTTCATTTTAATACTATTTCTGGACGGATTTGTTTTTGTTTTTGTTGTTTT